AGGGATTCTCCTGCCTCCTCCTACCAAGTAGCTGGGACCACAGGCACCCACCACAACACCTGGCTATTTTTTGGTTGCAGCCGTCATTATTGTTTGGCAGGCCCAGGCTGGATTTGAACCCGCCACCTTAGGTGTATGTGGCTGGCGCCTTAGCCACTTGAGCCACAGGCACCAAGCCTATTTATTCTTTTCTTATTGATTAGTTTGAGTTCTCTGTAGATACTAGTTATCAGATCTTTGTCAGAAGCATAACCTGCAAAAATCTCCCATTCTGAAGGTTTTTTTGTTTGCTTTACTTACTGTGCTCTTGGCTGTACAAAAGCTTTTTATTTGATCAGATCCCAGCAATCCATTTTTGGTGTTGCCTCAATTGCCCAGGGGGTCCTCCTCATAAAATATTCTCCCAGGCCAATTTCTTCAAGTGTTTTCCCTGTACTTTCTTCTAGTATTTATTTATTTATTTTGCTGTAACTAGGTTTTCTTTTTTTTTTATAATTAATTATTTTTTATTAAATCATAACTTTGTACAGTGATGCATTTATGGGGTTCAGGGTACTGCTTCGATATACAAAATGACATGTTTACATTGAACCACTTCTAGTATTTTTATAGTTTCATGTCTTAAATTTAAATCTTTTATCCAGTGAGAATCAATTTTTGTTAATGGTGAAAGGTGAGGGTCCAGTTTCAGTCTTCTACAGGTCACCAACCAGTTCACCCAGCACTATTTGTTAAATAGGGAGTCTTTTCCCCCACTGAATATTTTTTTTGATAGGCTTTTCAAAGATCAAATGATGATAAGTAGCTGGGTTCTTCTCTTGGTTCTCTATTCTGTTCCATAAATCGACCACTCTATTTTTGTGCCAGTACCATGCTGTTTTGATCACTATAGATTTATAGTATAGCCTGAAGTCTGGTAATGTGATACCTCCTGATTTGTTCTTATTTCTGAGTAATGTATTTGCTATTCGAGGTTTTTTTCTGATTTCATATAAAGTGAAGTACTATTTTTTCAAGTTCTTTAAAGTATGACAATGGTGCTTTAATAAGGATTGCATTAAAATTGTATATTGCTTTGGGTAGTATGGACATTTTAAAAATGTTGATTCTTCCCAGCCATGAGCATGATATGTTTTTCCATTTGTTAACATCTTCAACTATTTCTTTTATCAGAGTTTCATAGTTCCCTTTATAGAGATCTTTCACATTCTTCGTTAGGTAAATTCCCAGATATTCATCTTTTTTGGCACTATAATAAAAGGAATAGAGTCCTTGACTATATTTTCAGCTTGACTATTGTTGGTATATATAAAAGCTACTGACTTGGGTAGCGCCTGTGGCTCCAAAGGGTAGGGTGCCAGTCCCATATGCCAGAGGTGGTGGGTTCTCAAACCCAGCCCAGGCCAAAAAAAAAAGCTACTGACTTATAAGTATTGATTTTGTATCCTGAGACACCACTGTATTCCTTGATCACTTCTAAGAGTTTTGAAGTTGAGTCCCTGGGATTTTCCAGGTATAGGATCATATCAGCAAAGAGTAAGAGTTTGATCTCCTCTGACCCAATTTGGGTACCCTTGCTTGCTTTCTCTTGCCTGATGTGATGGCTAAGACTTCCTTTACTATGTTGAATAGCAATGGAGACAGTGAGCAACCTTGCCTCATTCCTGATCTGAGTTGAAATGTTTTCAATTTTACACCACTAAATATGATATTGGCTGTGGGTTTGCTGTAAATGGCCTCTATCAGTTTAAGAAATGCCCCTTCTATGCCTATTTTCTTCTCTTTTCTTTCTTTCTTTTTTTTTTTTTTTTT